GTTTACAAACAAATCACATTTTTTGACATAGTTGACTAGTGACTACTAGTTTTGCGATTCGGAGCAATTTTTCGTGTTATTATGTAATTACTTTTCCATAATTATTTTCACATTATTCGATGTATAAAAAAAACTAGTCATAGCATGGGTCTGAAAATTCCCAATTTGATTGAAATATCCATACTGAGTATATTGGTGGAAAAAAATCTTACATCGACGGTAATAATTTCGAATTAGAGGGTGATGAAAAAAATAGTGGTTTTTGAATATTTTTTCGTGGTTGTCAATTTTTTCAATCGATGAATCACTCTGTATATCATGGAACTCATTGGGATACATCCTTCAAAAATATTTTGAATGTCTGGAATCAACCCGATAATACGAGGTGGCCCAATGAACTTTAGGATAGACCAATTATGCAATCAACAGCATTAATGAAACACCATGTATAATTATTATATTTTACGAATTCAATTGATGTAAGAAGAGCATACTTGGCTATAAATCTCATTTTGTAATTGTTATCAATTTGTAGCATTGATATTCAGATATTCAAAAAAACACATTATTTGAAATGAGAATCACCCTGTAATAAAAATCAGTTTTGGTCGAATACCTATATAGTTCTTGCGCCTAAGGGCATAACTATTACGTGCTCCCGAAAAATTGGAATTCATTTGTCCTATCTTAGAGATATAGGCCGAGAAAAATTAGGTATTCTTCAACTTCAACACCCTGTATCTCGTAAACTAGTCATAGGATTGAGTTGGGACTTGGCATATTCAATCAGTATGTCGAGTACTATCATTTACCAAAAATTGGGGAAATTCGACGGAACGCCATTTTTATATAGAAAAAGTGCGGGGTCCTTTGTATTATAATTGGAGCACGCTAATAATTTTCTATTTCTGGTATACCTCTGAGGAACATGGTAGGAAATCATCGACACTAATTTCGGTGAGTCATAACAGTTTGTTAATATTTTGAATATGATGAGTAAATCATTGATAATTCTTCGCTGTTCGAGAAGTTGTATCTTATAGTGGGTGCGAATTTCACTAATACCTGTTATTACATACATATTAGTCATTTTAAAATGAAGGAATCTCACAAATCTATTCTGAAGCCTTTCTAAACGTACTTTATGAATGTTATAATAGGGGATCCATATGACACTAGCAAAATTCAATTTGCTGAAAACGAATGAGTAGTAAACTGATTTTATTGCCACCTCATTGTTGAAATCCCTACACATTCTGCAAAAGAAACCTAAGGTTCTACTGCAGGTGTTGATTACATAGTCTAGATGTGGATTAAAACTCATTTTTGAATCAAAATATACTCCAAGATCTTTGATTTGATCTACTCTATTTATTACAATATCATTTATGGAGTATTGAAATTCAATCGGAGTACTGCTTTTGCTGAATGATATACAAGCACATTTTTTAACATTTAGTTTCAATCTGTTGCGATTGCAATAAATTGAAAATTTTGATAGATCTTCTTGAATCTTCGTACAATCCTTAACAGAGGTTACTTTTCCAAAAATTTTCAAGTCATCCGCACCCTATCAAATCGTTAATGAAGACCGAGAACAACAATGGGCCAAGGTGTGAACCCTGTGGAACTCCTGAAGTGACCACAAACGGTGCTGACCTATATCCATTGAGATTCACGAGTTGGCTTCGATTGTGTAAATAGGATGATAACCATCTCAAAAGGTCTCCCTGCACACCGATTCCAGCAAGCTTCGAGATAAGGATGTTATGATCAACCTTATCAAAAGCCTTACTGAAATCAGTGTACAACGAGTCCACCTGTGCTCGATTGTCTAGTGCATTTGAGATGTATTCTGAATAAATTATCAAGTTTGTTTCAATTGCACGCTTGGAGAAAAAAACGTGTTGGTGTTCTGAAATTGAAGACTTGAGACAATGAAATAGACTGTCATAGATAATACTTTCAAACAGTTTGCTGAAAATGCATAATTCTTATCTCGATATCAAATCGCGGAATTGAGTGCAAATTAACGCACAGGAAAGTGCAATTTTTCAATCATTTTGCTCAGGATAGTGATTGGCACAGGTGCCGTTCGATAAAATACAATGTTTTTATATGCCTTCGGAAAAAATAACATTTCGTTATTAGATGACGGTCGAAATTTGCAGCTGGCTCTCCTACTAATACAAAAGTTTCTATATGCTAAGAATGGAACTGAACTTAAGTAATATGATAGGTCATATATCGCACATATTCTAGGAGCAACTTTTATATCATCATAATTTATTATTTGAGACTTTGCTTCGCTATCCATGGTTACACCATTGAAAACATCAACGCTGATAGACCAATCAGAATTCACGTTGTCTCGAGCTTGTGATTGGTCAGATTATTTGATGAGTGAAATAGTCATTCGCTCATTCAACATAAAAAAAGTGGTATACACAATATGATGGATAAAGGTATGTTCATGCATGTACGAATTTCGCAAAATTTATGGGAATAAAATGGCGACTGCGAATATCGCAATGAAGTTGAAATATTTGAACGTTTTTACGAATTCGGATGGAATCAACCACACAGTATACATAAAATGTGTTGTTATTTTATTAACATCAAAATTGGGGAATTAGGGAGCGAACAGCAGAGGCCGAAAAAACACGAGACTAGATACTAGACTACATGTAAGTTCAGAATTATAATTAAACATTTCATCATTTCTTCATTTGATTAAATTTTCTTCGCAGGATGGATTCTCTGGACGAATCAGTTTTAATGTATCATTTGTATATCGTCTCTATAGAGCTAATGATGTATCCAGAAGCAAAAAATGGAGCTGTAGTGTTCGAAGCATTTTTGAATGCCGAAAAATATATGGAGATATTACAGCCTCGTTCGATATTTGATGAACTTTTATCAATGGTGGGACCAGAAATAATAGTTATTTATTATACAAGGGAAAAAAGTAGTAGATTTTAGCTCCAGGTTGTGTTGTTGAGACAAAAATCCGTGAGCTAAAATCTAATATTTTTCCCGTGTATAATACACTATTTTTTTCTGTGACAGAAGAAAGCACGAATCAATATTGAGAAGATATTACATTATTTTGAAATCTGAAAATTATCGACGTGAAATTTAAAGTTTTTAACAGTAGGGACACCTGTGTTGTAGGCATCTTAATCATTCTTTTGAAGTAATCAAATATCTGATGTTACTTCTGTCAGTCTAATTCTGAGATTTGATTTCAAAAAATTGCGAATTTAGTGGTTGTTTAGTAATATACGTAACCGGGAAGTCGAATGGAAGATAAAAGGACTTGCAGTTCTTTCTCGGAGACGGTATTATTCACTCATTTTTCGGAACTATAGCACAACAAAAGCCATCAACAGTGTATATATAATATGTGATATATATCCGGGAAAAATGTACTCACTTTTTTCCCAAGGGAAAAAAGTAATTTATGAAAAGTGACATTTCATAACCTGCCAACAGAAATGAAATGCCATACTTTTTTCCCGTCACAGAAAAAATGAATTATACAGGGTGTCCGCTAAAAGGAGGTCAATCCAGTAACCACATATTCCTTGAACAAAAACAATATAAGTTTCTAAATACCATTTTTCATTTTAGCCCTTCATATTCGATATACAGGGTGTCAAAGTTGGAAATTAAAAACTGTTTTCTTCTAATTACTCACGTATTTGATAAGATATTAATCCCAAAATTGGGACATTACTTCAGCACAAAGAGTTACATCGTGTGAGGATAACAAAACAGAAAATAATTGTCAAATATTCAAAATACTGGGGGTCAAGTACACACTTACCCCCATATTTTTTTTTGTACGTGCACTAATGACTTCCTATCTATTTTCCTTCAAGTGTTCAATCATTTTTGAGTATTTTTTGTTTCTTGTAAAATTTTGATTAATTCATTTGTTTTTAAGATAATTCGAAAAGTACTGGTTCATGTTTGGTGCCTATGCGGCTTATGGAAATCTCATAATGTTCACATACTCCTATTTATTTCGTCGAAATTGAAAGAGGGCGTATCTTATTACGTACGGAAAGGTAAATATGGAAATACCAGGTGCTCAGAGCGAATGTATTAAAATGATTTTTACATTTTTTTTTCTTGTAAAAATAATTTCAGTACATTCGCTCTGAGCACCCGGTATTTCCATATTTACCATTTCGTACGTAAAAAAATACGCCCTCTTCCAATTTCGACGAAATAAATAGGAGTATGTGAACATTATGAGATTACCATGAGCCGCATAGGCATCAAACAATAACCAGTACTTTTCGAATTATCTTAAAAACAAATAATTTTATCGAAATTTTACAGGACACAAAAAATACTCACAAATGATTGATCACTTGATGAAAAATATATAGGAAGTCATTAGCGCACGTACAAAATAAATATGGGGGTAAGTGTGTACGTGACCCCCAGTATTTTGAATATTTGACAGTTTTTTTCTGTTTTGTTCTCCTCACACGATGTAACTCTTTGTGCTGAAATAATGTACCAATTTTGAGATTGATATCTTATCAAATACGCGAGTAATTAGAAAAAAACAGTTTTTAATTTCCAACTTTGACACCCTGTATATCGAATATGAAGGGCTAAAATGAAAAATGGTATTTAGAAACTCATATTGTTTTTGTTTGAGGAATATATGGTTAATGGATTGACCTCCTTTTAGCGGACACCCTGTATATGACAACAGAACCCTTATCTCCTGCTAATTTCGTCGTGTGAGTATGAACGTCGAATTCTGTTGGGAATTTCATATTTTGCGATTCGCATAAATTTTGCGGAATTTGTAGAAGCATGCAAATACCTTAAATGTCTCGATTTAAAAATGAACAAAGTTCATGGATCAGATGGATAGAGAATATAGTTTTTTTTTTACAAATTGAGTAAAACATAATGAAGTTCCATTGTTTTTCCTCTAAGCATGAATGTATTGATTGACTTTTTCAATTTCTTACCAGTTCCGATGAACAGAACATCGTAGGTTTTTCCTCCTGGTACTTTCACTTGAGGATCAACTGCAATTTGTGTAAATCGGTAGCTGAAATAACAATGAAAATGGATTAGACAGTTAATACTGAATTGATGAACCTAAATATATTGGAGATGGTTTGAATATTATGTTCAAAAATTCCAAAAATTTCTTATCTAATGTAGGCGTCCATACTTTTCTCTATGGAATTATTTGGTATGGGATCAATCAAGATAGATCACTCTAATTGAAACATTGGTTCTATTCTAGGATGGATTTCTGAGAAGCTTCATGGAGCTACATATTACTCCATAATTCAGTTTATTGAATCGTACACTGAGAATTAAATAATTACAAATATGCGGCAAAGATTATGACACATCACTAATTACAAAGTGCTTTTAATTTCATCATTACATAGCAACACCCACCTCATTTATTTTATTCACTATACAAAAATGGATTTCAGTTGAGTGCTATGACTCAAATCCGATTGTCAATCAAGTTCTTGCTAATTTGATCCTGAACAATTATTCTCCGAACCAATAGGTTTGAAAATCAAAGAATATAAAAAGTCAAAGCATCAATATACACATATATTCTTTAAATCAAACGAAAATAGTAGATGAGCGGGGGAGAACTACTTTCCAGGCTAATGTATAGCGAGATATTGAATCACAACCACTCAAAATCTATATATGTAACTTTTCATATGAACTGATATTTCCTTAATAAATAATTGTGTTCAAGACTGAAAGAATATTAGTGAAATTACATTTTAGTGGAAAACATCCAAATAGAAACAATCAAAAAAAAATCTTCATCAAGTGAGTGTGCAGTAGGTACATTTCAACTGGGTTTTTTAAAATTATGGAGATAAAAGAAAAACTGTGAGTTGGAGAAAACGCAAAACTTTTTTTTAAATTCTAACAAGTTCACAGATAGATGAAAATTCCAGAGAATTCCAAGGAATTCCAAGGGAATTCAAGGGAATCCAAGAAAATCCAAGGAATTCCAATAAAATCCAAGGAATTCAAAGGAATTCCAGTTGTTTGTACACCAGAATCATACCACACATCACCGAAAAAATTCCAAGGATATCCAAAGAATTCCAAGGAAATCCAAAGAAATTCAAGGAATTCCAGTTGTTTTGTAGACTAGGAATATACCGCACTCTACCCAAAAAATTCTAAGGAATTTCATGGAAATCCAAGGAATTCCAAGAAAATCCAAGGAATTTCAAGGAAATCCAAGGAATTCAAAGGAATTCCAGTTCTTTGTAGACCAGGAATATACCGCACTCTACCCAAGGAATTTCAGGGAAATCCAAGGAATTTCAAGGAAATCCAAGGAATTTTAAGGAAATCCAAGGAATTTCAAGGAAATCCAAGGAATTTCAAGGAAATCCAAGGAATTCGAAGGAAATTCAAGAAATTCCAAGGAAATCCAAAGAAATCCAGGGAATTCCAAGGAATTTCATTTGTTTGTACACCAGAATTCCGCCGCAGTTTACCCCTTGCTCAACCATTACTCTGAACAATCACTCACTGGAAACTGGTTCGGATGACGATCGGCTGGCCGAAGAAGCTCGGCACGCTCTCGTCCATCAGCGAGTGCGCCTTGATGAAGTTGAGCGTCAGATCGGGCAGCGTCCGGCTGTCGTTGTGGCACTGCCCGGGCCGCGGGTCGGGCACCTTGTTGCCCAGCACGGGCAGCCAGTTGGCGTTCAGCGCCTGCTGCTCCTTGAAGTTGCCCTCGAACGTGTCGGTGATGTCCTGCAGGCTGAACGCGCACACAGCGCTGCCCGAGATGCTGTTGGGCGGTGTGGTGAACGTACCGTAGATCAGCTGCGCCTGCGCGTCGCCGTACTTGCCGTCGATCAGCTCGGTGGCTGATTCTGAGGAAGAAAATGGGAAGTTGCGATATAAAGGTACACCGGGGAAGTGTAAATTTGGGGCAAGTGGAACCCAGGCTGATGATCATTACATTTTTATTTATAAGGTGGCTCTGTCTATCGCATAATGAACCTACCCATATCCCCTGGATGCTCAGTGATATATCAAGCTACCAACCCCATGGATATGGGGCAACTGTAACCTACGTACCGCTATAATAAAAAAAGTGTAGATCAAAGATTTGAGCACTTATCTCGTTGTACATTTCCAGATCCATTGAATAATTATCCATCAGAAAGCTGATGTGATTGAAACGAGAATGACCCATTATTATTATTATTTTTTTAGTTTATAGCGGAGCTATTGAAATTCGCGGTTCCACTTACCCCGGTGTACCTTACATGTGTCCCAAAACTGGACGTATTCCTTTGGAAGGTTGATAGTCCAGCTCATGACTGGCCAGAATATCAAAATATGACCTCTGTAAAATATTGATAGTTTTGGAGATATATTCACGTTTTAGAGAAACGTGCAAGTCTAATAAAATGATTTATATAAATATTGGATGTGAGGGTTCCGAGGTTAGTCTGGTCTGGGGCTACTCTTGACTTGACAAAAGCTCGTCGTAATGGTCATTATAATGTAAGTTGTTGTTAGGTCTTTATATTAATTGTTGTTGTTTCATATTTCACTACCCATGATGTTTCATGCTTTAATAAATATTGTTATGTTTTAATATATTCTCATACCCCTTATAAATCGATATGGATGGACAAACCATCTATTTTATCGTGAAAATATTGTACATTCAAAACGTTATTTCGATAGTCACGAGCAGATTTTCCTCTGCACTTTCCTCCCTGATTATCCAACGGTCAAAGTGGAACACACAGCATGAAACTCTGCCAATTGAACTACATTATTTGTTTACTCTCCTCCCCAGAAGATACGCCTATTGCCCCTCAAGTGGTAAACTTTTCACGAAAAATATGAGGCCGAGATCCCTTTGCTCGTTCATTCGAGTGCAGCATCATCGGTTTAATTAGTACCTATTTTTAACAGACAGCGCTGAGTTTCGGTAAATAGAAGTTCAGTCCAGAGAAAAATTTGCTGCTGAAAAATTTCGGCACCATGAAAAATTAATTAAATACTCGATGTGGGGAAACTGGGGCAACAGCTTATTTGTTATAATATCAACACACTCCAGCGCTTCCTGTGTGATATTAATTTCTCTCACTTTTTTCTGTCGTTTGATTGAAAATATGCGTTATCGTGTTCGAGATAGAAATTGTTGGTATTTTTCAAAACATGGTTGGTTTCCGTCAGAAGTTTTTTGCAACTGCAGTTATTTTCATCAAACATTTTATAGCTAAAAAGATGTTCATGTTGACGAAAAGTATTACTTAGCAAAGGTGCAGGAATAAGGTTTTTTCATAAAAAGTGCCGAAAGTTTACTTTCAAAAGAGTTAGGATATTTTTGAATGAATAATGTCAACGCTATATAGGAATTGATACAATTTTTTCAAGTTGAGAATGAAACGAAATTTTCCACTTTTGGCTTGGAAAGAGAAAAAAGGAGGATTAGAATTCTCCTCCAACAGAAATACATTCTGAAATGGCTCCCTAAGTAACTAATTCGTTAATGGCCTGTTTATATTGAAAAAAAACAGCACTACTTATATTGACCTTAGGCAAGAGTACTGAATAGGTGTACAATCGAATGAGATTGTAATGAATTCCATCAGTTGATTCAAGTTATCGGTTGGTATTTTATCCCATAAATTTACCTGGTGTGTTATTTTATCCACCTTGATGCCCTAGAAGTGGTTCGGATTGTTGAAGCTTTTTTCTGAACAGATAATCATCTGTCGGACATTCATTATCGACAACTTTACTTTTGTCTTCTTGAGAAAAGATTTGTCAGGTAATGTCTATGGTGGTATAAATTATGGATTACATCACATAATATTAGCCCACTATCTGTGTGCAGATGATAATTACCATAACAGCGGAATATCGGCTGACATGATATTAGTTGACATTTAGATTTTTGAAAGTTTGGTTGCAATATAATTATCGCGATAAACTATCGAAATCAGCTGCGATAGTGAGTTTGAAAATGTCCATACGAAATTTCCAATGTAACAGTTAGTAGGTATACAAATGGGAATTAATAAAGAAGAAATTGTAATCTACAGAGAAATATAACATGGAAATGTGTATCATTGATTTGTTATTCTACATGGTTGCCGAAAAATTAGTGTACGCGACACGTCCAAAAACTGTTTTCTTGGACTCGCACATTTCCACGACTCGCCTACGGTCGGCCTAAAATTCTGTCTACTGGTCCAAAAAAAAAAGTATTTTTCGAACTTGTTATTTAAATTCTTATTCCTGTCAATTCACGACCAATACTTCACTAACACTTCTGTACTCACTGGCACAAATGAATGCAATGAAGATTTTATTATGAATACAGTTGAATAGTTTTGTGTTTATCTTTGAATGTGTGCTGACTAGTATGAATGAATATTGCATACTACAGAATGTAATAATTATGAAGGGCAACAGCGACGATTATAATAACGCACATTTTCGACGACATTCTGTAATCTCGCGTCCCTAGGCAACGTACTTAGATTGCCATATAGATGATCTGCCTCCGTACGTAGTTCTCAAGTAGAACTCTTGTTTCTCCCTTTAGTCCAGTCATTATAGACTTTGACCCGTGAATACTTTTTTAGTGCTTTTTTTTTCATAGGTGTCTCGGGGGGGTCACTGGGAGTGTAAATTCAAAATGACGACCAAATCAAGCTTTATGTTCGAAAATGGTTTTTTTTTGTTAAAAAATGGTTTTTCTTGAATTTTTGATTCAACAGAAAAAGTTTGGGGACAAAAATTGTAGTAAATTTGGTTCTCTACAAGTTTGGTCCTTACAATTTTTCTGATAGGATCGATATTTTGTAAATTGAACCTGAAAAAAGCGACAAATTCGAAATATTTTCATTATCATTTTCATTTTATTGTATACAACTTTCGCCCTATTCGTTGCACCTGCAGAATTGAAAAAGAGGAGATATTGCGAATATTTCTGAATGGGTACATATTTTCTGGTTAAATTCCGAAAATATCGATCTTCGGAAAAACAGGTGAAGACCAAATTTGTCCAAAATTTGATTCTCTACAAGTTTGTTCCTTCTCATTTATGGTGTAAAGTTGAGAATAAACGAGATTATGATGATATTTCGAATGAGTCGTTTTTTTTTAGGTTTTATTCCGAAAATATCGATTTTCGGAAAAACAGCTGAAGACCAAATTTGTCCAGAATTTTATTCTCTACAAGTTTGTTTCTGTTCATTTATGCCGTGAAGTTGAAAATAAACGAGATAATGAAAATATTTCGAATTTGTCGCTTTTTTCAGGTTCAATTTACAAAATATCGATCCTATCAGAAGAATTGAAAGGACCAAACTTGTAGAGAACCAAATTTACTACAATTTTTGTTCTCAAACTTTTTCTGTAGAATAAAAAATGGCCGAGTTATTCAAGAAAAACGCAAAAGCTTGATTTGGTCGCCATTTTGAATTTACACTCCCAGTGACCCCCAAGGTCCGTTATTTGGATATAATGACTGGACTACTTGGTTCTCCCATCTTTGCCGTAAGGTGGCGTCTGCTTATTCCACAGAAAGATTCAGATATATTGAGAGGTAATCGAAGGTTTTGTTACCTATTTCATTTATTATCTTCATGTCTTTGAAACAATAAAACAGTCACATCTTCTCAGTTCAGAGAACTAGGATGTCTGCAAGTAAGAGCATAAAACACTGGTCACGCGCGTAGCTATAAACATGAAACTTTTTCATTGAGCATGATCTATTAAATTTTAAGGCAGACGTCGTCAAGTGCACATAATCTGCCAAGTTGAGAAAGCCACTTCCGACTCCATAGAGCCAGGGTGAAAAATGACTCTTTTCTCATTTCATACTTATTATAGTGATCCGTTTAGTTTATGGTGGGTTTATAGCTGCGCATGCAAAACGGACAAATTGCTTCAATGTTGTACGCCTGTTCGCCCGATTCATGAAACTTGTTTCAGAAAACGTCATGTTAAAGCATGTGAGAGGGAGAACCGGCATAAAATTTTAAGTACGGTTCGGCTTTATGCACTTTGCCATTGTGGCAGTTTAAAATTTTCTATGAATAGTCTATCGTTGAAAGGATTTTCATGGACCGATCACACTTTTCACGGTAACATTTTCCATAGAATGAAAAAGAGGGAAGGAGGAAAATGTAATTCTCCAAGCACAGAAATAGGCTATTGCGAACTCATATACTCATATACATACTAGTAGTATACAAAAAAATTAGGCCCTTTGACGACCGTTGGTGAAAATAGATGTCGGAAAGTAGCAGCTTCAGTAGGGGTTCACATAGTCTCTCGAAACGAGCTTTCGTAAGCGCATCAAACAATTTTTTTTATCGTTCAAAACCATCATTCTGCCAATCAAGCTATAACCCTTATCAATTGAGAGATAAGCTATAAATTATGCCCATCAAAGATGTTGCAGATCTGTGGCTCTGTCATTGCATTATCCTCTGTCGAATTATCATGCATCTGCAATAGCTTGTAATATAAAATTTGTAAGCCGACCACGAGTTGCGTAAGTTTCACACCCAGCATATTGAGTGAAAATCGAATCACATGAAACATCGTGAATTCCTTTTATTGTAGGATATTTTCACTTTGTATTGTTCAAACATTGATGAAATAAACCTCTGGTGTACGCACTTCAATCCTTTCCTGTTTTACAATTCCTTGATTTTCGCCTACTTCGATAAACATAACATGGCGTGGGTGAATCTCGCTAAGTTTAGTCTGGTGCCGTACCAAAATTACAGGCATCAATGTGACAATTGTGACCCAATTGTGACTAATGAATATAGGGAATACATTTGGCGATTTAGCCGCATCAAGGTTGGTAGAACTGCTGTTGATGATA